TATGAAGTATTTAAATACAAGAATCGGAAAGAAAGTAATGAATCTTTATTTCGTTAATTATAATTCAATTTATTAATTAATGGATTCAATAACAGATGACATATCTTATCGGAAGTAGTCTATCATTAAGTGCCAGTACTTGGCTTTATTTCGGTACTTACGACCGCTTCAAAACGTATGACATATACGGCGTAACCATTTTGATGGGTATATCTGGCTCTACAATGTTGATCACCAGTCTCTCCATTACCAATGACTTGATTGGACACAACACTGTATGCATTAAATTAGAAACTTTGTGACTTACATTATGATAATCTAATAATCAAGAACACTTTATAATGCAGTCGAGCGGGGCTTTTGTTTTCGGAGCCATGAGTTTTGTGGACAAACTGTCGAATGGTATCGCAGTGATTGTCATTGAAAATCTTCATCCGTGTAAGACATGCGGATGTAGTATTTGTGATGATTACTACCGCAATGTCTTGGCTTTTGTCTGCGGGGGTGCAACTGTTCTCACTGTAAGTTTATCTCAATGTTGACACTTGTGTTCAATGCTAACCAATACTTATACCGTATAAATGACATGATATTTGCCGAACAGCTCATGGCTTTGGCTCTGTTGGCACCGCATCCCATAGGGATCACTCGAAACAGTGAGTCCATTACACCCATCAATACTTCAGTTAGAGGTATGAATTGTATTCATTATTTGAATATTAATATCTTGTTCACAATGTTCTCAATATTACATCATTATTGTCTTCAGGAGAAGAGGAGTGTGAGAGTGAAGACGAAGACGACAACATTTGTGATAACTCTATATCTCCGCTCATTCACAATACATAACACTCTTAAATGACTGTAATATTTTTTTAATTATTATAAAGTTTATTATTTATAAATTTATATCAAATTGTGTTTTATACTGTATTTGAATTTTTTAATTTTAAGATTTAATTCTAGTCCAAAGTTTTAATTTTGTTAAGACGACAATGTTTAAATAATAATAATTTTATACCAATTGTAATTATTGCCAAGTTTGCCAATTAAATCAAATACTGTTTAATGTTTTAAAGTTTGGATTTTTAATGAAACAATATTTTCTCAATGTTCTAGACTCTATACTATGAATCATAACTTATTGAAATTAGTTGCCAATCAAATTTATCATATAAAATTTTCACAGTGTTCATGTAAGACTTGCAAAATGATAAGATTCAATATGTTCTCACTTTATCACAAAATATTATTCGCTTTTCAGTAAAAATATTGTTTGCACGGTTGTATACATTATAATATATTTATTTTATTATTACAATATTAGATATAATTACAAAATTAGTTATAATTATTAAAAGTGTATTAATAGGAATTATTAATACCGAGTGTTTACACAACCAAAGATTTAAAATCTAAATTTTAGATGTAAAGATATAAAGTATTAATTTAGTTATAAAATTTTTATATACAGTACAGTATACTGGTCAACTTATATTGTGATATACAGTAGAGAAGTTAAGTTATATAAAAAAGAGCGTTTTATCGTACACTCAAAATACAACATTCTTATAGTTATATCATAATATGATCATAATACATTATAACTTATACGATACTGACTTACAGAATGAGCTAGTCTGTGTACTTGAGAAAATCTGGTTATATCCAATACATGTATTGATTAGTTTAATTATTTCTGATACAAGAATAAATATCACAAGAGTTGTCTGTCATATGAAATGAATACATTTTCTGTGCTTTAAAACCGCATTTATTCTTTGTATTGTAATTGTGTAATTGTAACTTCTATGTAAGTTATAATCATTTCGCAATATTAAAATGACATTATTCCTGAACAATTTGGTGTACTCATATTCAGAAAAGCCTTACAAATCATATTTAAGCCCAAATCGTTGTTTTGTGAGTTATTGTTTGTTATACTTGCTATTTCAAACTAACATTAATATAAAAATTACAAACATATAAAATGTAATGTAAAATTATATTTACATTAGTTAAAATAAATATACCATTAATTTATGTAAATTAGGGTATATTTTTAAATCATATAATTCTTTTAAAGAGACTTAATTATTATAATTCTTTTACTATTTTATCTTTCAAACTCATAATAATGGGTTTATTTAGTCATGTGTTTAGAATGTACTGAGTTTTATTACCAACCTGGTATCTAAATGATACCCTATTTGTAAATTTATAATTCATAGACATACTGTATTGATCAATTTAACAAACTAATGTAACACATACTTTGCTTAATATTTATTGTATTAACTAATGAATCTCTATGATTCTTTAGACTACTATCTCATAACTAAATATAGATTGCATTATTCTTATTATATTCTTTTACAAATATTCTTTTAAATAAAATATATTTCTCAGACTATAACTTGTAAATAATCAATTCATATTTTTATAAATTATTGGATAAATATATTATATTTAATTACCGGTAGATAGATTTGGAGTAGGTAGACAGTTAAATGGATATATTGTAATTTGTTGTAATAATTATTATGAATAGTGAGAATAATGTTGTAAGATTTGTATAATTATTGTATATTACTAGAAGCAAATATAGAAATACTAATGCTTCATTTAGAAAGTGATATAAACATCTCATAACTAATAATTTAAAAGCAAATAAAATAAGATAAAAATTAATAATAATTATTAAATATTATAATTATACTATTAATATACAAATATTAAGTTTGGTAATTAAATCATAATTGATAGCTAATAAGAAGATGGTTAGTTAAAATAGGGAAAGTAGTAGTTGTATAGAATAGTGTGGTTTTACTGTAAATAAGAAAAGTTATTATTTGTTAATAAAAAATATGTTTTGAGAGTTGTTTGAAAAGAGTCTTTTGTGAGTCTGTAAGCCGTTGTGAGATCTCTCGACACAATTGGATGATGTGTTGAGAGTGAGTGAGCATTGAATGCATTGATTAGCGCTTTGTTCCGTTGGCTGTAATGATACTAATATTGTATGACATATATTATGACAACAAAAGATAATTTGTGATAAAAGTTGGTATTACTGTGTAAACGGAAAAGGCTTTCCATTTTTCACGAAATATGTCTCAAATAAAAAACATGCGAACTATAAATGCTTGTATATATGAATGATATGGCCATAAATCACCAAAAAAGCACATTTTCCACAACTATGTTGCAGTTATGTCTCTGAATCGAGTCTCTCTCATAACAAAAGTACTTTTTGTGGGCCTATTATTTCTGCCTCAAAGAGTAACCATAGTTAGGGATACTATGGATAACTGTTATAGCGTTGTATTCACTAAACATATGATTCATATCTTATTTAATGTTCAAACTCTGCATAAACTTGTAAAACAGATTTGCACTAACATTACAGCAAATGAGTTGCCTTTCGATAAATTATGTCCAAAACATGATTACTATTACAACATCGCCGCTGAATAAGTCTATTAACACTTTTATTACAATGAATGTGAATATCCATTATATTTATAGCCCTCATCATTGTTCTCAACAACATTTCACTGATGCTCTTGTCATCAAATGTTAGCATTACTTAACATCTTATGCTTATTACAATCAAATTCATTAAATTAATTATACAAAATTTACTCCTAATTCCATAATAACATATTTATTTTGCTATTTATAGTAGCTTTTATTATCGTGAATTTCATAGATTAATAAGAAATTTATTAGAACCACTAATTTTATTCACTAATATTCTGTACAATTTATTTCCACATAATAAAAAGTATAATTTGTATAAAAGTTATAAGAATTCAATTGTAAACTTCACATAAGAGAACATTAATGTAATTATTATATTATATCATAATACAACAAAACAATAAAATATTATTGTCTAATATTTCATTTTTGATATATTATTATTATTATTATTATTGATATTCTCATAAAATGGTTTTATCTAAAATTAACTGAATAATAATATATTTCCATTTAATATAAGCATATTTAATCAACTAACATTAAAGTGTTAGGTTAATTTCATAAAAATTAGATATGTTCTAGCTTTTTTCTTAAATTTTATGTTTTCCAATTTACTCAATTGGTTGTGAAAGTATTGCTAGGATTATAAGTGAAATAAATAAATCTTATTCCAATTTAATATATATTATAGATACTTACAAGTGAGTTATAAGAATTATTAGCTATATATTAATATAATTTGAAATATGAGTGAATTCTTCAAAACAATAGATTACAAAATTCCTATGGTGTTTAAAATGTATTTTGGCATAACTTCATGTTTGTATTTATATTTAAACACGATTTCGTTGAATGTGTTCTTCTTTTCGTGATGTTATCCATCACTTCTATTGAATAAATAATTATATTAAAGCTTTCCGTAAGAAAGATTAATTTAAATAAAATTATAGTTAAATATAATTAGCTTATTGTTACTTAACTAATATGTATATTGTATTAAAAACTTACACAGAGCGAAATTATAATTAAGGTTTTGTTGTTTTAATTACATTAATAAAAATAAGAATCAAATGAAACACAAATTCTAGTGAATAGAGCAAAGAATTGTGCAAAGATTGTATACTAGCCATTATTTGTAAGCAAGCAAACATGAACTTATACATTTATACTGTATCACTAACTAAAAACAAATAGAAATAATGCTTTTATTTTATTGAGTAATAAAATGATTTTAATGCGTTTACAAACACCAAATAAATCAGAGGATTGTAAACTTCATTCACATATTTGTATTATTTTTGAAGATTTAACACAATTTATAAGACGTTTTTGAGAGTTAGTGGCGAATGTAAACAGGGATCGAGGGTTTGGTTTGTCTCACTTGACAACTAGAAAAGCCTCTTAAAAGTAGTTTTTCGATGAAGTATTTGTTAAAAATGTAGTTTATATTCCGAGTCATTTACTGCAAATCGTTTACTTTGAATTCAACACTGAAAGTCATGTCCTTCTCATTGAAGTTCAGGTGTTTTGCCTGAAGAGCCACTGCATTGTGGCTGTTATTGGCTCGCAGTGGGGTATCAGTGCCGATAGCATCCATATAAAAGACTCGCAAAACTCTTTTGTATATGAAATGCTCTTTTGAGCGACGAATGTGTGTTTACAATACCAATAGTCAACTTTTTGTGGCCAATCCTTACCACTGACTATAGGTTTAACTCCAAATAGAGTATAATATTAGCTTCATATACTGCATACTCCAAAAGTAAACGAAAATACTGTACAATTTACAGCATTTCAATGCATACTCTATTGGTTTTCAGTGTATTCAGCAAACATATTCGTTTTAAGCATATTCTTAAAGCATTTGAATTTGAAAAATGAGAAAAGTTCTCATTAGTAAGTGAACAGTAGATGCATACATGACTTTGACCACTACTTCATTGTATCGCATGTATTGAACCTCTTATGCGAAGCCATTATCCACTCATCACATAACATGCAAAACAATATTTTATAACATTTGAAACTTTTTGCAATTGTTTTTTTTGGTGATTCAATTGAATTTCCTGTAGAGCTATGAATGAGAGTTAAGTGACTGAAGACATTGGAGTCATTGGAGGCAGTGTTCCGCTGCTAATGACTTCTTGATCTTAGTGTATATCTCATGCAAATCTAAACCACTATATTACTATATTATTGAATCATATTTTATATAATACTGTAATGAGCTGATAAGTAATAAATTGTTAATTTATATGGGAAATGCCACAAACGGGTTAATTCATACCAATAATGACTGTTTCTCAATAAAAAGTTCATTATTATAAACCGGAACATAGTTTCAATTGTTTTAAAATGAATAATCCGAGACATTTTCAAATGTTGCCTCCAATTTCTACACT